CGGCCACCTCGCCCGGGGGAGCGTCCACGCCGCAGAACGCCGCCCCGCACCCCGCCGGCCCCGTCTACATCGACGGCAAGGCCATGAAGGTGAGCGTAGGCGCCGTGAGGTGAGCCTTGCGAACCACAAATGCCAAAAAGGGGTGTCCGTACGTAACGCGATTTCTCTTAGACCTAAAGGGCTACGATTTTGTACAAAACATGACTAGGCGTATGGCGAGTCAGGACATGTATTGCACAACAACGTAGCACCTCTCCGTCGGTCACAAATCGCGTAACGTGCGGACACTTTTCAGCAATTTTCCTGGAATTGTCTAGGAAGAAAGGTGCAATGTCGTGTGCTCCCCAAGGGGTGCAGGAGAGATTTTCGGCTAAGTGTCTAAAGCCCTCAAAGGTGCTATAAATTAGTTCCTTTGGCACTGAACATTTTGTGCCGTTTAGATAGAACTCTGTTTTGGGGGCGTAAATAATGCCCGTGGTCATTTCGAGCTCGTGTGCCGTCACCCTCACCTCGGCGTGGCCGTGCTTGCAGGAGATGGCGGTGCTGACGTCGGCGACGGCCTGCGCGCCCATCACCTCGCACACCCAGCCCGGCTCGGTGCCAAACATCGCGACGTGCGCCGTGGACTGGGGCGTGGCCGGGCTCACCACGGGCTCCAACACGCTGTGCAGCTCGGGCTCCGGGCTCGGCGAGCCGCCCAAGGAGAAGCTGTCCTTCACGGACCGGCTGCACGGCCTCGGCGAGCGCCTCAGCGCGCTCTCCATGCACAGGGGCGAGGGGGACCAGCTCGGCCGCACCAGGACAGGTGAGCAGGGCGCAAGCAGGGTGCTGCAGGGGGGTGCAGGGCTGCAGGGGGCTGCTGGGTACTGCAGGGTGCTGCAGGACGCACCAGGACAGGTGAGCGAGCAGGGCGCAGCAGATCGCAGCAGGGCGATACACCTCGCGCCCAAGTCTCTGCCGCAGGGGGTAGGTCCAGGGGCGGAGCCTGTGCCCCTCTAAATGTGCCCTTTGCATATACGGAGAAAAATCTGAATTGTCCAAATTTGTTTTTCTTTATTTTTTCTGATTTTCTCTGAGTTGTCTTATTTTTTAGAAAAATAATTTTCTTGATTTTTCTGACATTCTTTTCCTGATTTTGGGGGGCGTGGTACACTGATTCATTTTTTGAGTGAACTACTCCGTGTCTGACCCTGTTCTTTGACGACATTCAGGTAGCGTGGGCGCCTCGGTGCACCCCCTGCTCACCGTCACCCACACGTCGTACTCGTGCCACGAGGTGCTGGACAAGCAGCGCTCCAGCGAGTCGTCGCCGAGCCACAGCCACAGCCAGGTGTCGCGCAACTCCAGCCGCAAGTCCAACAACTCGCTGCTGCACGTGACCAACGGCAAGCTGGACGGTGAGGCCACGCAACACTCCGGGCACGCAGTCTAGCTTACACGCCCTTTCCATTTGCCAGATGGGTGGCATTTGTTGTTCTTTTAGTATCTGATGTAGCCGTTTG